ACAAGGGCCATCCTTCGGCATCCCTTTGAGCCGAGCAAAACGTCTTTGTGACAAGTTTGCCACTTAACACCCGGTCCGTTAATATCGTTAATAATTACAATGTTTAAATATGTATAACGCTTTTAGAGCAATTTAAATATTGAGTTGATTTGACACGCCAACTCTCCCCGAAGCGGCACCCAAAGAGGGTCTACTTAAGACCTATCTTTATCTCATTAATAATAAATTACGGATCCGCTTACCGTCTACTTTACAAAGAGCGTTTAATAATAAAATACCTTGTCCTTTTAGATATAAGAGAAACTCGTGAGCTTTACACGAACACAATACACTCAAATTAGGCTTACAGGATCATTAGGAGACTCAGTTTTTACACCAAAATATCCTTCGGCACTGGATTCTGTGTAAAATCATAAGCTTTTAAACCTAAAAACTTTTGGGCAATAACTATTATGTTGTAAAAGGCTGATTCACCCCTTGCCGTAGTGGGATTAAGCCGTACCCTGTGGTTCCATCAAATGTGTAGTTTGTTCGAACCAATTCACGTCATGTGCCCTGGTTGGGGATAAGCCGGGGCCCAGGTCACTCATGTAATGTCACCTCGTCACCCCGGGGGAACTGATAGAAATTATCTTTTTCTTCTACCATAATGTTATTAATACGTTTAAATTCCTACCTGTTCTGAATACTACTTACTTGTACATAATGCAGGTCACAGAACACGCCGTAGAGTCGTCTACGGCGTGTTCTGTGACCTGCATGTTGTAGAGTCTTCTACGGCGTGTTATGCATAAATGTCTGACATTTATGTAAGATAGAAATATACTATCTAAAACCGTCAATTCTAGAATTCTTTTTTCGACCAAATTTATGTTAGACTTATTACCAACCCTAAAATAGTTGAGAAAAGGTCAAGAGAAAATAATAAAATATATCAATCCATCCACGCATTACGTATTCCCATAAATGTCACATTAATATTGATAGAAGAGAAGATCGAAGTTCCATTGTGACCATTTGACAGTGGTTTCGATCACTCAGTCATAAAGTTGGCTATGTCATCTTCTGTCTGGATAGGGGTCTTAAAACATACTGAGAATTCGATTCTGGCATTTATACTAGTCACGATGGATAAACTATCGATAAATTCACACATTTTTACACACTTTAGAAATTATATTAATGAAATATATCAGTAAAAGTAATCACTATAATGATTCTTTCATAAACTGCGTTTAAAAAACCGACAATCCCCTCTTTTTACCCGACTGCCAAAGAAGGAGGGTAATGTTTTTTTTAAATTGGTTTCGGAAATGAATATACTAAGACTTTGTTCTAAGTGTAACACTTTTCTGAAAACCGAATCAAAATAGGTTTGACCAGTTGCGAGATAATCGCGCACAAACATACAAATACATATATACAGGTCAAAATAGGAATCCGCTATTTTCTTTTTGAAGTCGATTAAAAATAGTAACTACTACTCGAAAACTAATAATATTATTTTGTTATAATTAATAGTACCTAGTCAGCTTTTTTGATAGCACAAGTTTAGTACCTTAGTGGATTGTGGTTGCTTGATTTTAAATGGATAACCCTGTACTTATTGTAAATATGATAAATAAATAAAAAAAAGCTTCAAACAGCGACTTCCATAATTTTGTTTTGAGTATTCTAAAGATTGTTTGACAACTTAACGATTCAATATCTCAGTTCAGCAGTCGAATCTACGACAAAGAGACCACAACTAAAAGTATCAAGATGTTGACTATGTAGGACCACGTGTCCCAAATTGCGCTGTAAGGCGGGGAGCGTCAAAGACTACTGATCGTGGTATCTTTACACAAAACCCTCGTTTATTGAATTTTCATGATTCCCTTCCATGCAAGTTCGTCGATTTCGCGGAATCTCAACTCGGTTGCCTTTACCAGTGGGTACACAGTCGTATGTTCTCTGAACTCGGACGAGCACTTTTATCAAAATAAATTAGTTCGGTTACTTTGTGGATGGTTTTATTTTCTCTGTTAGGTAGACTTTGTGGAGATTTGATTAATGTTTTCATAACTCAAAGTGGTTGGTCGGTCATAATTCTGCTTCTAGGAATTAGAGGAATATGAATCCCATTTACAGTCCTAACTTATAAGATACTACGGATGTCTCGTTAGATATGTGCTATAAAATAATTATGTGAATAAATATGTAGATTTTGATAGACCTTTTATTGTACCACACCTATTGTTATTTTCCTATTTATTTTTTACAGACAACACAAAAGAAATTACCAAATTACTTTCACGCTGTTTTCTGTACAAAAAGACGAGACGCCTCAATAAAAAAAGGTCGAAAGGTTACACTAAGTCATTAAGATTGATGTCCAAGATTGGTCCACAGTAAAAAAGTTTTTAACGTTCCATCTTACAAATATCCACCCATATATGAAGATAAATCTATGCCCTAGAGAAAGCGTTTCTAATCTTCCAGAGAGCCTTGACACTGTTTCCTAAAATAGAACAGAAGGGCGCAGTGTGTAAGGTCCAAAGATTTCGGGGAACAACCGCAGTTCCTCCAAACAATATTTCGAGAATGTTCCATACACTGTACTATTGACAAAATCGACGATGATTTACACATTCGAATATCAGAACATTGCAGTAAAACATCAAAAAGAATGTATCAGTTAAATTCGACTACAATATCCACCAATACGAATGCCAAACATAAAATCGATACTTAACTGCACACCAAACACTTTTTTGTGTACCGTACACATGTTCACGAACGCTTACATAGCAAGGTGGTGTTCGGAACAGTCCCCAAAGAGTTTCGTTTGCGGCACCAAATTGAATTTCCGTTTCAATACATTTAGATAAGTGTGGGTATTATTTTGCATTCTGTACTTAAACTTTGGAATGGAGTTGTATTTGGGTTGCGGTGTCGCTATTTACCCTTTCAAATATACAGGGTAACACTGGAGTCTCGTTGGATTCTCTCTCGTGTCTTGAGTGTGTGCTAACAAATGCCACATTCAAAACGCCTTGCTTGACTTCTAATTTCGCCAAAAAGACACGTTGCGGTTGCTCCAAGCTAGAGACAAAATAACTTATGGTAGCGGTTTTTTTGGATAAGAATTTCTATGTAAAATGGTTTCTTAGATGCGTAAAAATGTGTTTTTCTTATTTCTATTGATTTCATACAGGAACAAAATATACACGTAAGACAACTACCAATTTGTCCTTGCCAATTGGGACGTAAATTTGGCAGATAAAGTTACATCCTATAACAAGAAATAGTGGGGCAATAAATAAATGTGCTGCTCTGTTATTTTCTTTCGATCCAAAATTGCAATTCACCAATACGAAATAGTGCCATTTAGGTTGAAAATATGAACAGTACTAAAGTATCTGATACATCGATGGTTGTTAGGCCTCCTCTATAAGTGGTCCCTGTTTACTCCTATTGACCCTTATAACTTTCACACGATGACGGCTACCTAATAATATACCCAGTTTACCTTCTTTTCGTAGCAATTGAAGGTAAATAATTCGGACAGACCCATTTTCGGTAATAGGCGCGCGTTGTCCTGACATGCTTGTACCTAATTAGTAGATACATATCTCTTTAGGTTCATAGTAATTTAGTTCTCGTAAGTTCTATGAATATTTTCTATATGGTTGTACCTCTACGACACTAGCGGTCTTCACACGGCTCTGTCTGCCTAATCGGATTAAAATGTTACCCATGCGTAATTTATATTTTCTAACAGTTACTAATAATACACCGATTCTAAAGATGGGTCCATTGTTTTATTATTTGTTCCTCTCTATTATACTTGATCGCCTAAACAAAACTGTTTGTGTAACACAAATTCTATACAATACCATATTTTAGGACGTGACAAAATCTTTACACGTAAATAGAAGGAATATTTAAAGGGATTTCTATTAATTAAGTATTGTATTAAAGCGTGGGGTATTCTGCTCTGGTTCGGGTTCGTGGCTTCGGGCGTTGTGATTATATTTTAAGAAGTTACAATCTCTCGTGAATTTAGGAAATTTATATCGTAATTGCTAAAATGTGGGTGTAATACATTTAAATCCAGTCTCGGTCTACGTGGAATAGTCTGTGTAGTACTGTTATACATTTTATATTAGGCAATATGCTTTCTAGAATATTTTTATTTCATTCCAAACCTAATCACTTTCTAAGAAAACTTGGATCTCTGTATTTGTCATCCCAATGTCTCAATACTATTGTTGACCGTCTGTTGAATAAACACAGCCCTAGCCAATGTAAACTTGAACCACCAATCACAATAATTCATATTTATTATGATAACTGAATTCATTCGTCCATTAATTTTATGTAACCAATCAGCTGTCAGAATTGACTCGAGGCAATTAGGGCTGGCGCTGCAAGAGTGATTTAAGTAAAACTTTGTTGTTTACGTTGTTGGACTTGGCGATTGTCATTCAGCCAGCGATTAATCATGAGAGCTTTGTCTCGAGATGCAAACAGCTCATAAATATTTCGTTAAGGAGTGTCTTAAAGAATTTGCTTTGTTTTGACGAATAGCTTTAAAATTACGCCCCCGGTCTGTATTCCGCGATTCATGCTGATAATGGATCTTTTTTCCGTTGTTTTGATTTTTCGCAAAACTCCCTTGTTTTGTTTTAAATCCTTTTTTGTTACCGTTTGCCAATTAAGCAAGTAGATTTAATTAAAATGTTTTCACGGAAATACGAAATACCTATTATTGAAAAAATATTTTACATCTCGTGTTTTCCGAAAAAACGAGCAAGTATTATGTTTAAAAGCAATTACCTATTGAATTTTGTATATATGTAAAAAAGATTCAAAACACAATCAATGGATCAATAAAATGACAAAAACGATTATATTACCAAAACGTTTATTTAAGTTTGGCGTATTGCTAATTCATGAACATCACCCATCTGCCTACGTGATAAAATGTAGGTATACAGACAGTTTTATGTGGACCACACTTAACTTTAGCGTGTAAAGTAAACGGTCCAAGATGGCCCCGGGTTAGGCGATATAGGTGGATAATCCGTCCTCATCAGCCATTCGACCGCACAAAGTGTTGTTACGCGTGTCTAGAGTTATCCCCATCTATCTTCAAGGGGACCGCTTAAGAATGGACAGGACAAAGAGCTGGCCATTACGACGCGCCTTGAAATTGCAACTTGCTCGACAAAGGACTTTGCTGTCTCATGTCTATTCAATTACTCTAAAGGTCAGCAGACGAGAGCGTCTATATCTACCTACTCACCTCACAATATCTTTCTAAAGCCACAAAAGCTATAATTACGCAAGAAGAAGTACCTTAATTGTGTAGGCGTAAAATACACAATGCGAAACGACTTGAAACTCAGTTTTAATTAAGAAGATTAATGAAATTCGATACTCTGTAAACCGATAGGCATTACATTGTCTATGAGCGCTTCAAAGTGAATAGGTTGAGAGCACTGAGTGACATTTCCGTGGACGTGCGTTCATTGCAGGGTTCGATATGTATGACTTTCGGAAATCTTTCAGAGTGTCGCATAAAGCGCTCTGTTGTCCAGCAGAAAGGGTGTTCGATGTCCCAGTGAAATCTCTGGGAGTTGAAAGGCAAACATTACAAAAGCTTTTTCCCCGTCGCTCGGTTGGGTCGTGACGTCCGGTGCGCTCTCGGGCGCGATTGATTCAGCGGCGGATGGTTCAATAATTCAGCAGGATGACCGGCCTGTACATGTCGCATGTTCCACACGGGAACTGGCCGCAATATTGACAGGGCTGTCAGCCAACTTCCAAAATAACAGATAAGTACGGAAGAGTTGTCGAATGTGGAGTCCATATTTTATGTTAACGAGGCCCATACTTATGTAGTTTGAAGGGATGAATTTGTAGTTTGACTTTGTTAAGCATACTAAAAATATACACTGCTTCAATAGGAACCACGTCGTATATAATAAGGTACAAGTAATAACATTCTCATTTTACAAATTGCATAGAAAATGGCGGCGCGGTCGCATCGCCGCGGCCCGCAACACCGCGAGCTATTTCCAATCATACGTTCCGACATCACTTACCAAACATTATATTAAATGGTTCAATTAAAACTTATTTCAGGCCTTGCCCTGATTATTAATGTGCTAATAATTCTTTCTGTCATCGTAATTAAAGTTTAAACGAAGATAGACGAAGTTTATTGCGCTTTGCTCGGAGTTTTGGCTGTTCTAAGGTGATATACATCAATTCCATTAGCACAGTTTATTTTGACTAATGATAGTATCAATTTGCGAAAGAGACGTAATTAGGCAGCCGGAACCCAAGCCACAGGATACGTCGACCGACCGCCACGACGCCAAGATATCATCTATCATTCATTTCTGAGAAAAAAAAAGCTGTCTTAAAACGTTTACGTCACAGACTCCATTTTTTATTGTCCACATAATTCCTGAGTTTGAGGTATAAGTACATAATTTTTACAAATTGATTAAATATTTCTCTACTATTACCTAATAGATTTCAGCCGAAAACATAATTAATTATTCCACTGACCGATGTTTGTAGGTAGTTAACATAGTCTAGACCAGAACTTATTAGAAAATTTCCATTACGTTTTAATGAATTTCGGATAAGATATAAGTTGCCAATAAATCATATAACGCAGTTATTCTACAAACCCCACATGAAGTTACATTTTGCTCTCATAGTTCGATTACAAAATCCATTGGCCGGTCGTGGCTTATCTTTGGATTTATGATTTTACATCCCAATAAAAACGTTTTAAAACGAATTTTTCTATTTATCGAGTTAAATGTAACATTATTTTTCTAAATTGTAACAAAACACAAGTATGTTACGCCTCGTGTTATTGTTTCATCTGTTATTGTGCACTTTGGTGATGTGTAAAAGAACACAGCAAGAGGAAAAAGAATCGTCCGCAAGTGCAGATGACCTGGGCGGCCAGTTGGTAACTTCGTTACGGAACGACGTCAACATAGACCTCTCAGCAGACGAGGAGTATGAGGACCTTCGAGCCGAGCTTCTGGCCTACCACACAGCACTGGCTTCCATCACTCCTAGTCGTAGTAAGTACAACATAGTGTTGAGTTGGGTAAACCAAATCTTAACATTGTCGAGCTCTGATTTTAATAATACTTAGAGAGCCGTTACTTATCAGACCGTAATAAATTTACATAAGTAAATAGCTTTATAAGTTGCCGGCATTACTTCCGAGACAATGTAGCAATAATTAAAAAGTGGCCAGATTCACTGCGCTTCGTAATAACCGGAGGCTAATGAAAATGTATATTTCATAATCAAGTTATAAAAACTTTGGCGCTCCTTGTTATAAACATGCTGTTTTGCAAACTCAAACAGAACATCGTCAAAATTGATTCGATATGTACTTAGGCAGTAAACATAACGTTTGTAGGTAGAAGCAATGGAAAATCTATATTAACTCGAGGAAAATATTTCGATATGAACTCCAAGCACACTCGTAAAAATGTTGTATCGAAACATTACCTAATGAACGTTTTCCTCAGGATCGATGAAGACTACGCCGTGTTGGAAGCTAGGCGGAATTTGCATCGATCACAGAATGTGTGAGGGTCACCGCTATATGTCCGAAGTTGAAGGCTGTAGACGAAATTTAGAAGTCTGTTGCTTTGTGTGGAACGGGTACCAGGTCAGAGACATGAAAGACAAAGGTTTAAGTAACTTAGCACTGCCGTGGAATCAGCAATTCGAAATTGGTGGTAAAGGCATTATAGCCTCTATGGATAAGATGAACTCGAAGAAGAAGAAGCGGAAATCGGTAAAGGTAAACGTGGATGATTCCCGAATAACACAATCTCGCACCAATGCATATAAAGAGGAGGATAATATTGGTGATATTCCTGTTATGGTTATAATAAGAAATAATGAAGATTAATTTTGTTTTTACTCACTCGTATTGCACAGACAAAATCTTAATTAAATGTAAAATATAATTCGATTATCTTAACGAATGTACCTAGCGAGACATTACAATCAAAATATTAAACGGCTTATCGGATGTAGTTCTTTCTGTTAATTAAAAAGTCAATCTTATAACTTTTTATGTTACTTTAACTTTATCAATAGGCATGTAAACTTAAAATCATGTTTCTGTTCGTCGTTATTATGCTAGTGGTTTCAAATGTGGGGGGTCAAAATGTCGCGACAACCTCTAAACCATACAATATCGGAATATCCAGCGGCTTCAAGGATGTATTCCTTGCTGGGATGAATGGAAAACCAACACTCGGTTAGTATTATTTCCACTATTGCACTCATTTGTTTTGTTTCATAAACAATAACTAGAGGTATAATAAAGTTGACTAGCTATTTTAAATGTTTGTGTCGATTTCCCAAAAAAAATATTGAAGTACATTTTCAGAGTATCCTTAAATCTTGCACCATTTCAGACTAATGCCTAGTAGTTAGATTTCGACAGTTTAAAAATATTTTACTGTATGCACTTTAAAAGTATTCAGGGAGCATCTGTAACAATAATGATTGTCCAAGTGAATATTTTTGTAGGTTTACAAAAGTAATTGCGTACATTGGACCATTCAATTGAAAGTAGGTCAATAGATCCTATCTGATGAATACAGGACTATAGATTAATGAGAAAATTGTATATTTTTACAACGATGACGTCATACAGGAACAGCAGGATCAACCTGTTGGGCACGCGGAGGCATCTGTGTGGACCTTCAACAGTGTCCTTCACTGAAAATGGATGTTGGTGTTGCTGGCTGTGCATGGGGCTTTAAAGTATGCTGTAAGACCCACGGGCTCCTCTCCCCAACCGTGGGCACCCAACGAAGATACGCGATACCCGTCATAAGCAGTCTTGACGAATTGGGAACCTCTTTAGAAATTATCGCGCTTAGAAACTCCATGCTCCTCGCAAGCTGGCAACGTGAGAAAAATCCCGAAAGTGATGATGTACACTTGAAAGACTTATTGAATAAATAAATATTTTTGTAGCCTTATGTACTGTGTTCGGAAATATTTCCTATGAATTAATAATTCAAATGACATTTAACCTTGAGCCTGTGAGGGCTTTCGATATAATTTCGATCAATCGGCTGGAAGCGTCCGTTAGCGCTTCCAACATAAAATATTACTTTCAACGTCCATTCACGTAAATGCAAAACTCGTGTATCATGGTGAGGGCCGTTATCGATGGTCTAAGCAATTAAATACAAACAACACTAAAACAATAGCCGCCATTCATAGTGGAAATTCACACGAATTTATTTTATTTTCAATTCTGCAGCACTTACGCTACGTTATGTATCCTGTAACACAAAACCAGCCAAAAAACAAACATATTATTATCATCGTTTATAAACAGATTATCACTAAGCCAACTAATAGCTAAGAGTTATCATATATTCTGAAGGGAAACGCAAACATGAAAGCATTAACCTGGGTCCCATATACCGCAGAATACAATTTGAGCAACACACACATACACACACAGAAGCTAAGCTTAAGTGTTACCAATTCATTAACCATGAAGTGCCTATATTAAACCTACCATTGTATAATAAAGTGGCTCATTCATGCTCCACCACCGTGCTTGCCAACAATTAGAATGTATATTGCATAACATCTTGAAGCCTGTTACAGCATTTTCGTGTATTAATATTGGAGTAGTTGCTCCCTTCGAACTTGATCTTAATGTATTCTAATCCGTATTCCGGAGATAAGTATGCGTGTTTGTATTTTAGGGTGCGTCTACACTACAATATTTATTGTTGACTCTTTTTGATTAGCGTTAAGAATTGAATCATCTTAGTCTATGCCGTGTAGCCCTCTAAATGTCATATTATAAACTCCTTTGGTGTAGTTCTGATACTCGAATCTCTAAACATACAAGGATATTCCTAAAAGTCTAGAAAAAAGAATAAATTGTTGACAAGTGAAATCAATGTAAAGTGTCTATAACCGACTTGGGAGTTTGGCTTCCCCACACTGCAGGTCTAGATACCAACACGACCACGGGGCACGAAACAAAATAAAGTCTACTGTGAACTCAGTGAGCGAAGCGTGAAGTTAGAAACTACGTCCGCGGACTCTCTGCGGAATACTACCGATCCAATTAGTACCAGCACTCCTCCATAAACAAGACAATAAAAATAAACAACGAAAATAAAACTTCCAATCTCACGTCCAGAATTTACCACAATATAGAAAAGTTGGAAAAATCCACAAATTGTACACGATCCGTTACCGTTTTGGGTACAACCGAATCCGCGGCTCTCGACTTAATAAGGATTCTTGGTTCAAAGACGGGCTGTTAGTTTGAATGCGTGCCAAATTAGTTCACCTCGACTGGGCCGCCTTTAACATTCGTAATGAACACAACTAAGTTTATGTGTTCGTACATAAGGCCGGCCACAAATTACACTTTGACGTGAAATTGTATGTGCGTAGACTAAGATCATGGCGCTTAGGTAAACGGTAACTTATGCGTAAACGTTAAACCGTCATTGTTCTTAACGTGTCCCGACTTGATCCAGGACCTTCGGGAACGAAGTAGATTCTATCTTAGCAGTGGTACTACTTTTGATGTATACTTTGAAATGAGCATTGAAGCAGGTTGGATTAAAATTAATAATATATTAGCCTTGCTTGTAAACATAATATGTTACTGTCTGGAGATGTAACAAAAGCGTTACATAAAATTTAACTCAAATTTATTTTGCAACCTGGTAAAAAATCAGGCATCTCGTTTTCTTATTTTGTTACGAATATAACTCATAATATTCACTGCTGGGATTCAAGGCTCTTGCGGCACGGCGTGGGCAGTGATGTACGACGAGACACCAGTGGGGATTAGCACAACATCACGTCTTCAATTTATTAGTTGCTTGAACTTATCTGGTTCCATTAAAAATGTGAAACCACTATAATAAGAGTTATAATGATAAGGCTGCAAATAGTTCTAATTAATAAGATAACGACTAAGTGCTGCATTGATCGAGTGTAACTAAACAAGAGATTCGATACTATTGCCAAATTGGAAAATGTAACGTAACATACATAACATAACATCACGCTTTTAATCCCCAAGGGGTTGGCAGAGGTGCACATTACGGCACTTAATGCCACTGTACAATGTAACACCCACTTTTCACTATTTATGTTATGAGTCCCATGTAATAGGGGGTGAGCCTATTGTCATATATCGGGCACTATTCCAGACTCCGTGCTACTACTGAGAATATTTAAAAACCCAGTATTACTTTGCCCGACCCGGGAATCGAACTCGAGACCCCTTGCCCGGCAGTCGCACTTACGACCACTCGGCCAACGAGGCAGTCTTCGGAAAATGGAATTACTGGGTTTTAAATTTTCCGAAAATCCCGCAAGCAAGTGTCATGGTATATTTTGTTACAAATTCCATTACAAAAGCATGGTGTAAAAATCCTTTGTGTACGTGGATCTTATCAAAAATTAACATTACGATCTTCACCAGGTTGAATTAAGTTTTTTACGAGCGAAAGTACAAGTAAGATCTAATACTTGAGATGAGGTGTAAAATTTTCATCTCTTGAAACAACGTTGTTTTATACATTGTTAAAGGTGTATATTATATTTACTTTGTGTTGATATTGGTGTGTGATGAGCTGTTTCATTTTTATTTGTAGAACATACTTTTTTAAAAAGAGTAACGAATGGAGTTTCTTGCTCGTTCTTCTCCATTCGAATCTACATTTTGGAATGAGCACCTAGCTTCACCTAGTTTCACTGACGGACTGACTGACAGACTATTTTATTTTGTATTTGTTGACGTTTCAAAAGTACTAAACTATGGTTTAATTGAAATAAATGCTTTGACTTTGACTTTGATCCTATATTAATAGAATGCAAAAAAAGTGACGTATTATAAAGTACAGCGTATTTTTTTGCAAAATAATCAGTTTTCTGAATTAATAATGCCTTTAAAAACCGAATTTCAGAACTCATCCTACCACCATCATCACCATGACAGTCTCAAGTGCGTCCTCTGCTGAACATAGGCCTCTATTTAACGATAAAATTAAACCATCAAAAATCATCCGCTTTTAATTACACGTAGAACTATTCAAAATATTTCCCGACCCAGCATTTATTCCGGAATATTAAGCATCGTCGATTTATTGAATTCTTCCTAACCACTTTTTGTTCGGGCTCGTACAAAAGCGGCTTAAGTAATCTTGCGAATAAATTGGTGGCCATGATGTTAATTAGGGAAGTATTTAACAGAATGACCCTAAAAGACGGTGTAGATTATCACGTGGTATAATGATGCAGACGTCAGCACAACAAACTACTCTAAAGTATCACGTTTCTTTATTTGATTTTAAACTTTAAATCTCATCAATAAAGTTTATTTAAGAAAAATAGATTAGGAAAACTGTCGGCGTCAATCACGTTCGAAATTCAAAGCTTCAAAAAACCGTTACGTTTAAAACCGGCCACTACTTCTATTTAAGACGCCATCTTGGATTTTTACTATCCATATAAAAGAAAGAAATTCTACAATCGTTTTGAAATTCTAAGAAAGTAAATTGCATGAATGAACTGCTAACGATCTCCTCTTTACTCTGTGATTCTAGTTGCCATTATTAATTAACGATAATGAGAATTGTTGAAAGCGTTACAGAATTTTTAAGTTTCTAGTTTGATGCTTTGATCTTTCTTTTTATTGTTAAGAATTGATTTTTTGTTTGTTGAAGTGGTATTTAATTACAGAGTTTTACTTTGCGTAGATTTCTTGTCTAGAGGTCATGAAAAAAGCGAAAGGAGGTCCATGATTGCATGATCTGGCTGATATCAGGACATCATCACGTAGACCTGATATAAGGACGTCATATATCAATATTTAAATAAAAAGCTTTTTACTACATACTTACATATGAATATACCTACTATACAAATACCAAAATAATATTTTTTACAATTTTTTTCTGTCTATCTGTTTGTACTGGCTAATCTCTGGAATGGCTGGACCGATTTTGCAAGACTTTTATTAGCATGTATTAAGGAGTAAAATAGGCATAGACATTTATTTTGGAAAATTAACACAAAAAAGTTATGTTTAAAATTTCATATTCATTCTCCATAATTATCATGTTATACAACAGTTAGGGTACTATATACTTAGTACCTAATAAAGACATTTAACCTATTGATCGAAATAGTAACTAACTACGATAAGCATTTAAAATCAGCCTGTATATGCTGTTATTCACATTCTACATACTTCAAAATCATCAAAAAGGCTTAGAGTACCTCCATAAATTAATCCCGGCCATTTTGCGCAGACGATCGTAAACATCATTCAAAAAAGTATTAGGAAATGTCTAGTCAATATTTTTCTCCATACATCAAACTATTGTATGTCCCAAAACCATTGTTTGATGCGTTAACCCATAAAATATTAATGGAGGTAATAAACGTCGGTTGAATAAATGTGTGCACGTGAATTTGGACCTGGGCCATGGAAGTGTCATGGCGGACAATCAACCAGGTTATTAACATAACTGTCGCGCTGTTTAGCGGGCTCGTGGTCAGGACACGATATTGTTTGTTCGATGGTTAATTAGACTACCTGGATATTTCGGATTAAACTTTACATGCCTTTTGGTTTAGGCTTTTTCAGCAAGAATGAATCAATGTTAAAGTTTAGATATTACTGTATTCTGTTAATTACTAGATGTGTGTGATGTTATGTATGTTTTATAATATTTTACGTATATGTATACTGTAATAAAGTCAATGTCAAAGTCATTTATTTCAATTAGACCAGGAAGGAAATTTTGAACGTCAAAAAAATTAAAAGTAAAGCTATTTGCTCATTCCAAAGTGTAAATTTCTATGGAGAAGAACGAGCAAGAAACTCCTTAGGTTACTCTTTTTCAATCAGGTTCACTATACAATTCTCTAGTTAGGTACATAGTTTTATTAATATTTTTTTATTACATTTAATTAGTATGTA